GTGTGAAGTACATGCATAGCTGTACTCTTGGCACCAAAAGGTTAAAAGGGAAATGAATCATCAATCATTTTTCCAATTTTCGGATGCAAATATAAAACCAGAAGAAAAAAAATACTTAACAAATTTACAACCTGTACCAGTGCAGAGAAAATGAAAGAAATACATATTCTAAAACAGGAAGAAAGAACAAAAATATGTTTTATACAATTTGGATTTAACTGGTAACAAAATAATGGCAATAACCAGCTTTATTAGAACTTCTTATCAGATAAACAGAAAAAGCAATAAGATCTGTGATTCTAGGATTCCAAAAACTCTTTTATTCTGCTAAGCTCCTGAGACTTGTTTTCTAAATAAAAAACAAATTGACTCTGTAGAGACAATTTTTCCTGGTATCTAGAAACTATTCCAATAGATCCTAAACATCTTCCTTTGCTAAAGCAAGTGTCTGGAATGTGTTTGATAAAAATGCACAGGGGTGTTCAAATACTATTCTGTATTGATCCAACACTGATGACGATTTCTTGCTGCACATCACAAAACACTAAAACAATATTCAACTGTAATTTTAATATGATAAATAGTTTGAACAAATTGTCCTCCAAAGTAATACTTTAGTATAAACAATTTCTTTGGACTGCATATGGCACTAATGTTGACTGAACAAAATCTTAATTCCATTGGTACCAGTGGTACTTTTCCCTAGAACTGAGAAGCAAAGTAAAAATGTGTGGACGACATTATACAAATGGCAAGCAACCTTGACCATATTATATAAAAATAATAATGCATTATCATATGAATTTGAAAATTATTGGCAAGATAATTAAAAAGAACTATAATCAAAATAAACAGTAGCAAAGTCAAGAAAAAAAGTTTTACTGCATAAAATCTTCCTCTAAATACCTTATTGAATTAGCATGAGTCATCCAAAATAAGCCATGTCAAATTATCTTTCCAGAAATCAATGAAAGTGAACTGAGATAGGACTGCCAGCAGCATGCAAACTGAAACTTGCAGATTTTGAAATATTCTGAAGGAAAATGCTTTTACTAAAGGTATCATACAGTTACAACCATTATTAAGAAAAAGAATTCTACATTGTATTTCTAAATTCTTACTTAAAGGAAACCTCCTTCACTTTCAAATCTTCAAGAGTGCCTCCTATACTGCCATGCTGGTGATGAAAAGGAATTGATGGAGAATGTACAGAAAGATTACCCTCTATGGAGAAACCACCTCTGAGCAATGCATTCATGGGCATGTTATTCTTTTGAAACCTACTACTGCAAGCAGCTCCTGTGAATTACTGGGACTGTGGCATCATATCTGCAATGTCCTTCTATAAATGCCAAATTTAGAGGTCCATGAACAGATTATGGCATTGCATGATGTTATAGTTTTTGATATTAGCATGAACTGATTTGTGGTAAACATTTGGTAATCAAGAGACAAATACAGGCAACCAGCTTTGATGATTATTTCAATAGATGGACAAATATGTTAAATCTCTTAGGAATAACAGCAGATTGATACAAAATAGAAGAGACATAAAATAAAAATTACATATGTATTTAACTTTATATTTTTACAATTAAGATTTTGATATGAGATTATGATGTCAAATTATTTGAAATCATAATAAAGACAAATAATCACTATACTTCCTATTGTTTACAGAGGGAACAGGTACAAGCCAAGACAATAATACTTGATGTTTTGAGCTTTGAGCATTTCTTAATTATCCAGGCTTGCTGAAGACTATGGATTATAACTTTATAAATTGCTTTTAAAATTCATTACCAAGTATAAATTGTTCTACATTTAAATTGTAATTTCAAAGGTGTGAAGTTAAAAGCTGAAGGGGCACCAGTTATAAAAGAAAGGAACAGTACAAGAAATATACATATATATATATCTACATAGATATGTCTTCAATGCCAAAAAAAGGAAGAATGAAAAAAATAAGATATTGGAAAAGAATGAATACAAGCATCTAATCAATTCTTGAGTCACTCTGAGGAACTGTTAAGGAAATCATCTGTATACTTACAAAAGAAATTAACAGCTTTTTCTCAGAATTATGAACTAAAGTATTCTATCACTACAACAATCTCATATTCAAGCAGAATATTTGATTATAACTGTGTAAAAGAAGAGCATTAACAAAGAATTAACAACTGCAATCTCAACAATACTTCTATACAAGATCTACAAGTACATTTTTGTGAAATATTTACAGAATATTTACTTTATTCTCTTATAGACAGAAAACTGTGAATAACACTGTATCTGGGAAAGTTCTAAAAATATTCTTAAATATTACTGGACAGTTTTCATTCTCTTTTTCTAGCATTTAGAAAACTCCTGAACAATATACCAGGTTCCTACACAGACAGTCACTGCCTCCGAGCTAGCAAGTAGCACATCGAAGTGCCCTGCTCCCATACTTATGGCTCTGATATTCATCAAAGAATAAGTCCAAAACTCCCATTCATTTATTTAAGGGTAGACGAAAACTGTCACTTTTTTTTTTACTTAGCAAATTCTATTATACAGCTAACATTAAACAAAAACTGCAGAGCCAACATGTGATATAAGCCTTATGTAAATATGCACACTGCCCAACAGGTCCTCACTTGAGATATAGCAAACAAGTATTACATTCAACCGGGTAATAAGACTGTTCCAAACATTTAATTTTAACCAATAACTGAATGCACAAAAGAAAATGAAGCATATAACATTTGAGTATATAGAAAATTAAATCTGCTGTTACCATTAGCACCATATCTATCAAGACAGATGTGATGTAAGTTACATTAAGGCAAATCTTCACAGGATCAGTATGTGTCTGGCCACAAGCACTTCAAAACTTATCACAACATTTGATGTTCAACTTGAACAATTAAGCTTTAGCTGTAGATCAGTCAGCAGGGTATAAACAAGGAGATTCCACCCACAACTGTATATGTTATTAACAAGCACTTGCACACCACTGCAGAGCAAAGGTATCTTGGAGAGGGAACACTGTTGTACCACATCAGGTGTCATCTAAGTAAAGGTGGTATCATATTTAGGAGAGGAGAACTGCAAGATCTGTCTTGTTAATGTTTTTTCAGCAATTACACATAATGCCTAAAAACTAAGAAAGATTTCTATGAACAAAAATATGGTTTTAAAGTTATAAAATTCAACATGCCTCTAGTGTACATTTCCTAACTTCAACTACAAATCTGAAATAATATTTGTGATAATGAATCACTAAAGATTTAACTACAATTTATCATAATCCTTAGAAAAAATAAATAAAACAACTTTTCAACAGACCTGTATACATAATATGAAGGAACAGCATTGCTGACTAGTCAAAATTACAGCTTTTGCAGTCTTTCTAGTGCAACTCTATATTTTTTTTTGCATGACAGTTACAAGTGTAAGCCATTTATAATTCAATACTATTCGTCCATAAAGGCATTGTGTAAATACCACTTACAATACAGGAACATGTTTTGTTCAACGGCTTTGGTATATCTCACTGGCATCAGTGAGGTTCTTAGGCTTGAACTAACACTTTTTGTACATAGATAACACTAAATCCTGTGAAAGATCAAGCACAATCAAATCTGAAATCAAATCACTAAAATGCCTAATTAACAAATACACTTCCTATTTAGCTGAAAAAGTGATGATTTAGATATACATATATTTACATAGTATTTCCATTCACCATCATATGTACATGTATTTTTGCATGAAGTGGAATGGATATTAAATTCATTATAAAGAAAAAAAATCATGATACAAACACTGGAGGAGACACTAATGATAATAAACAAGTCAATAAGTATATGCTGTTAAAGTCTCTACAAATGACATTATATTGATACATGAAAAGAAATTTCAAATATAAAAGTTCAGGTTTTCCAAAGATATTTTTAAAAATAGTATAATAATAATGATAACTATAAAAATATTAATAATAATAGTGATAATAAAGTGATGATGATGATGATGATGACGATGACAATGATAAAGATAATAATAATGATGATAATAATAATAATAATAATAATAATAATAATAATAATAATAATAATAATGGTGATAATAATGATAATAAAAACAACAATAAAAAAAATAATAACAATAAGAAAACAATGGTATCATCATGATGATACTGCAGTGATTAAGATGCCTAAGATAATGACAATAATGATCATAATGATGACAATAATAATAATAAAAATAATACTAACAACAATGACATTTATAAAGATAACAACAATAATAATAAATAACGAATAATAAGCAATAACGATGATAACAAAACCAATAATAAAAAAACCCTTATCATCACTGCCATCATTATCATAATTACTACTTTTAATCATTATTACTATCACTGTCTTCATCATCATCATCATCATCACATCCATCATCATCATAATTATCATCATCATCACCATCATCATGACGATCCTCACTATTTTCACCTTCACTATCATTATGACTATAATAATAATAGTAGTAATTTTAACATCAATATCAATATCAATATTAACATTGGCATTAACATTAATAATGACAATAATGGTGATGATGATAATAAAAACATTAATAGTAACAAAAACAAAAACACTAATAATAATAATAATAATAATAATAATAATAATAATAATAATAATAATAATAAAAATAATAACAATTATAATAATGACAATAATAATAATAATAATAATAATAATAATAATAATAATAATAATAATAATAACACCAATAATAATAATAATAATAATAATAAAAATAATAATGATGATGATGATAGTAATCACAACAATTATTACAATAAATCAATGATTATAACAATGATAATGATAATGATGACAGAAAAAAAAACAATGATAGTAACAACAACAATGATGATGACGATGCTACTAATGATACTAATATTAGCAATAATAATAATCATAATAGTAATAATAACAATAATATTAATAATGTTGATGATGATAATAATAATAAATAATAATACTCATGATGACAATATTTAGAAATAAGAATCATAATAAGAACATATGCAATGAAAATGAATAAGGAGAATACGCTTAGGATGTACGAACTCGCACGCAAAGTCATTATTTTGTTATCGGATCACTCAGTCAAGAGTTTCCTGTAGTTTTAAATACAGATGGTGCAAATTAATATAACAGAAACAGCATGGGCAAATTTCTCATAGTGCTCAATTTTTTTTTCTTCATTAAATTTGTCTTTTCTAATATTCAGAGTTACTAATATATACTAGAAAAAAATGTAGTTACTCATTCAGAGGAAAGAGGAACTGTGATAAAAGGATAATTTTCTCTAAACACATTCCATAACTGGTGAAATGACTAAGTTCCATGAGAAACATAACTACAGCTCCTCCTAAGGGTGTGCAAATGTGTCCATTCATACAACTTATGATACAAAAGGGATCAGCAAACTCCTGACAGTACACGCTATAAATTCAGCCTTCGATATGTCAGCGCCTTCATTTAAGACTAATATATTAATGGGTTCCACTTGATATTCTCCTAATAAAATTACAATTTTAACAAAGCTAGGTCCTAGATATTCTCTGAAACAAGATAAAGTGAAGGACTATGACATCCTAGGTTGAAACTGATGCAAATATAAAGTGGCAATCTTGAACTTCCAGACAGTTTCCATTCAGAATATCACCAGAGTTGCAAAAAAAAAAAAACATTTGTAGATCAAGAGAAAAGTTTAACAAAAAGGAAAACCCTTGTGAATCAACTAGAGACATTCAGCTTCTGAAGCTCAAAGAATTGTACTACACTCCTCCATTGAAAATAACATACTTCATCTGAACGAGATCATTACTCTCTTGATGAAGATATAAGGGCTAGAACATAGTGTATAAGAAGGTCCTAAACATGGACATTACCTCATGCATCATTACTTCCTCTTGTGCACCCCTTTTAGGAATCATTTCGTGTTACCAGTATCTTTCACACAAACAACCTTTTTGGTACATTTTAATCATGCTGACCCTTTTTGTAATTCCAATTATTAGAGACATTGCAAAAAAAAAAGTTATTCCAAGAAATCATCATCAGAAATTAAGAAATAATCATTATATATATATGAATACAAAAAACAATTCTTCCTTTGCAAAATAAATTAATGGGCATAATTTTAAAGAATGCACTTCTTTTCTCTACTGGTATCCTAAGCTTTATTTTTACTGGGTTCCATTATTCTGTAACTGTTTTTTATTTAAGAGTGACCTGAAGGAAATGAATCGGTGAGAAAAGTACAAGAATATGAGGCAGAGTGTTGTAAAAGACACATAATCACATAAAAGTCAGAGATACTGTCCCACTTTAGCTATTTCTACTATGTGTAGTATGTCACCAAATGCTGTACATTACACTCTTTGCATTTATCATAATCTTTCATTCAATAAAACTTAATGTCTATATATATATCTTATAATACTAACTAGGGATCGAGCCATATCGTAGTCTTAACACAGCATCTGCATCACAGATGTATTTGCCTGAAAAAAAAGAAAAAAATTAACAATGAAATATTGATTATGATACTTAAAAATTATTGGAAATCATGTAAGTCTTTCCAAACACTGGCTATTGTGTGTACTTCATAAATATTAAAGGAGATCCATGAAACAAGAAAAAACAACAGACATCTAAGGGTTGAAAATATTTCTTTTTCTGTCTTGGGGTGTGCTATTATTTTACTGCTATGGCTAAAACTTTCAGCTGGTTCTCTCAAAATAAATGGAGCATTGACATGTGCACAAAAAGGAAGAAGGAAAAAAAGCCAGCCTTCACTATCACTCTTCCCACAAACTCTACCTTCTTTTGTTATTCATGAACTGATCAAATGTATTATCAAATTATATGGGGGTTTTCAATACTATTATAAATGGCTATCACTCTGGAATTCAGACTGATATGTAATAACTTTAATGTCAAGGATTATATTTTGAAAGAAGCTACTGAAGGATATGTGTTGCATCCTTTTAACGAATGTCTTTTGTTACCAAGGACATTGTAACTACTAGGCAGAGACTTGTAAACGAGAGATTGGAAATTAAAAATAAAAGAAGCCAAGGAAGTACTGCCTAGATTAGACTCATTTAGCCTTTAGGAAGTTTTTTTTTTTTTTTTTTTTTTCCATTAATAATCAAATGTCATCTGTTAGCTATGCCTGGAAGAGCCAGTGCCACAGCTCTGTCAACTAGTCTGCTACCCATGTTTCAAAATAAATAGCAACTTTGACTATAAATAAGGTTTTCCGATCATATATTTCTATTCATGTAAAGAATGAAATATGAAAAAAAAGAAACTTGAGAAGAAACACTATTGCTTGAATTAAATCCAATATTATCAATAATTATCAATCATGAAACTGTCCATACAGAAGTGTGATTGATTCCCAGGATGCAACAGGGCCTCCAATATACAGACTATAGCACTTGATCAAGGAGCACAACAAGAAAACAAGAACATCAAAACACAACACTGCCTCTCTATTATGGGAGATGGCTTTGTATAATTTGTTATCACTGGCAGATCAGCTCATGAAAACAGAGCAGTGAGGGGTTTGGAAGGAGCAGTGATAGTAGAGGTTGTCTGGTGATTCTTTTTTATTATTTGTTGGTTGAGTGCTAACTTTAGTCTGAGAATACCAAGTCAGTTTAGAGCCTAGCTGAAAAATAGGACTTGGAGGACAGACAATTTTGTGTATGGACGTGCAAATGCCACACCCCTACACACACACACACACACACACACACACACACAACCCCATCCCCATTTATAATAACAATATATTTTTAAATGTTAGATACACACTTACCTGAGACAAATCTCTTCTTTATAAGTGAAACTCGATACCCTGAGCCAAACAGACTAAATTCTAGCCCAGATACAGTTGTCCCTTCACAGTTGAAATAAGCCGATACAGTGGCTGGTGTGGATGGCCCAGCTGCGACTTCAAACTTTGCTCTCAGTGACCCCACACCACCACCTGTCGAGTGCTGTGACAACTCTGTCATCTTCCACATAGCTTTCTGCTCGTCTTTCAGCCTTAAAATGACAACAACAAAAAAATTATCATATAAAGAACAATTTACATTTTGTAATGCATATAATCACAAACATTATCTTAAACAAGAAAAAAATCCTTCTTATCTAACTCTACAGGTACACAGAGTACATACAAACCAGTATATCAAGTTCTGGTTTCCCATATGATAAATAAATGAACAGACCCTAGTTTTGAGAAGCACTATAAAATCATTCAAAGAGACTACAATCAAATCATATTCATGCCCCAAAACACTGTAGCATAAATCAACTTTAAAACTGTCTGTGGCCATTTAAGGTCCACACAATGCTGAACTGTACAATTAAGTTCAATCTAATAGAAATGTATCAAATTTATATTTCATTCAATTTCATAATGCAAGAAAGAAAGAGGCACATACATCCTCGTAAGTGGACACCCAAGTCCTCACATGCTACAGGATGGGAAAGGTACAAATACATCTTCTAACATTTCTCTATCATACAAATTAAGTACTGTGTTAATTAGCTCATGGAGGATACTATGCATAAATTTGCCAAGATAATCGGAAAATGAAAAGATAATTCAACTCACCACTGTCCTGAAGGCTTTGACTGCATATTTCCAACAACACCATCCACCGGCACCTTAATGTTCAGATTGAGCAATGGAGATGGTGAAGCAATGGCATGAGGATTATACTTATAGTCTATGCGTAAATCTGTGTGGGAGTCTTCACATTTCCAATACGAAACCAGCTGCAGCGGCGATGACTGAGCTCCACTTCCAATATTAACCTGAAAAACGTTCTATAATCAAATATTCATAACCTTGAAAAATTAAGTATAAAATAATTTTCAATTCATTCTTCCAATGACCACAACCTATATTCTGAAACTCATCTCTTTGAAAAATGCATAAAATTCTGCTCAACACAAATGCCCAAGGCAAATGAAAATTACAAATATTCACAATATTGTTTTTTACAGTACATTAAAATAAAAGTCATCAAACCTAAAGAACAAGTGTAACAGAAAATAAGTCCTAGAAACCATAGGAAATAACCTGTTCTCTTAAATAACTTGGAAGAGGGAATGTTCACTGTAGTTTTGTGCTTTGTTAATTGTCCTTACACACGCTCAGCCATCAGAGTCAACTGGTATGCCTTCATACCTTCATCTAATTTTCCCTTTTCTTACGTTTTGGGGATTCTTGTTTCAAATGTTATCAATATCAATATCATGATAATTATTATTGACATTATTTAAATGTTACCAAGAACACTAATGGCAATAATAATAATAATAATAATAATAATAATAATAATAATAATAATAAAAAAAGGAAAAGGAAAAAGGAAAAAGGAAAAAGGAAAAAGGAAAAAGAAAAAAGAAAGAAAAAGAAAGAAAAGAATAGGGTAAATAAGTGAGATAGGTAGGACTAGTAATTGACTCTTCAGCAACAAAGCCCCTATGGAGTTACCTATGTGTAACGACACATAATAAAACTCGCAATGGGCATGGCATGTGTTCATACATACATACATACATACATACATACATACATACATACATACATACATACATACATGCATACATACATACATACATACATACATACATACATATATATATATATATATATATATATATATATATATATATATATATATATATATATATATATATATATATATATATATATGCCTACACTGGCAGCATTGGGTTAAGAGTAAAAAATATTGAAAACGATAGCAAACCTGGTACTTTATCATGTCCACATTAAAATAGGATGCTGAAGGGTTACTTTCTGCTTGCTTTCGAAGTAGAGCAGTGAGAGCTGGCATGTTGAAGTCAAATGCACCACATTCCTCAGTTGACTGTTCTGTATCCCTAAAGAGCCAAAAACAAAAATATTGTAAATGTAGAAGCCTTGTATAACAGCATCTAAAACCTTCATCTGATGCATACTTTTCTATGAAGTGTTACCTACTTGAAGAACACTGAATTAACAGTATAGAAACATTTACCCATCTCTGTGTAACAACACTCAACTACATCATGATAATCATAAAGACAATAATTGTTGTTAAGAGCAATAATAATGATGAACATGAAAGAAAGATAAATACTTACATGGTAATAAGTTGTCTGTTGGGTAAGACATTTGTAACTCTGGCAAAATTATTAACCCTAAATGATAGCTGAGCAGGGGAGGGGTTATTGGCCAAGACACCAACAATACCCGCTGGAAAGGATACCATCATTTCTCCTGTAACTTTCACCTGACACCTGTTGAAACAAATAAGGCCATAAAAAAAATCATGTATTGTCAACCAATAAGGATATTTACAGTATCTTCCAGAAGACTATACCACTAAAATTCTATTTCTCTGCTCACTTGGACTCATCACTGCCTCTAAAATAGGCATGGCACAGCTCTTGGAATGCAACTGCAATAGGTATGGTGTCAGACAACCCAATTGTGAGGGGAGATGGCCCACGGGATGTTCCCACCATGCTGGAGGTGCGGAATTCTAAACTCGACACTGATTCTGCTCGGGAGAGTCCGGATACTGTTGCAGGACTTTGGCGTCCCCTTGGAGATGGCCCCTGAAAAATTTGTTCAGCACATTAGATATCTGATGGAAAAGAACAAAACTTTGAAAATTACACTCTGTAAGAATACTTATTATATGTTCACCCTGTGAACATATCTAACCATCAAACCAACACTAACATCTATTCTTGCCACAACCAGCTAAGGTCAAATGCTAGATGGCAAGGATATGTACCACATAATCAGCCTACTCCAAGTTGCGCACCCTAAATAGCTTTACTTTTGTTTGGTTCTACACGTGGCTCCTTGGGAGTTAATGCCTAGAAAAATATGAATTTAGCAGCAGCAAAACACTCAAAGAGCTCCTGATTTTTCACTTGAGTGGCTAACTGTGCATGAATCCCAGAGGGTGGCTCAGTTTGGCCTAGGAAAAACCATCAGCTTTGGGTTAACACTGCAATTTACAAAAGTTACAGTGTTTATCGTCAAATGTAATGGAAAGAGTCCACTACCTCCAGTGCTTTTCTTGATGGTGGTCGGGGTATTGCCATTGTTGGAGTGGGCGTGGATCCACGACTTGACGAGCCTCCACCCGTTCTTGGAGGAAGGGCAGGTGGAGTATCCCCTTCAGTTTCATTAAGAATTTCACTCAGCTCTATAAGAGAGAAACAAATATAAACCATATCAATAACATAGTAATACATAAATACAAATGCAGTAAAAAAACATGCACATTACGTGCACTCAGATGCATACACATATATATACTCTATCCATCTCTCTCAATCACTCACAGGTGAATATATTTCAGCAAAACTACAAATCACTAACCTTTTGATGTTCCTTCCAGAGCATAGCAAAGACATAAAATTTAGTACACATTCATTGCCATATGCTCAGCATATTTCAGATAACATCTTTGTCTCAACGTTGGGTAGTGCCCATAAGTATGATTAAAAAAAAATCTTAGATACGTAATGCATGAATAATTCCATATGAATTGTTTAAATTTATTAACATTTCTTTAATTTACAATCACTCTTTCATTGCTTCATTTTTATGTGCCGTATGAGTTATCTATCAAATTGTTTTCATTTACCAAATGACCATAAATTCTTATATATTTCAAATTCCTCTGTTCATTCCTGAAAAAACATCAATGATCATGAAAAAAATTCTTGAAATCTTCATGCGACATGAGCCCCTACAGTCCCATTCACCATGACTGGTTTCCTGCAAAATGTGTGAGCTTTGCTATTTGCCAAGATCATGGAAGGCAGGTTTTTCTCCCACAAGTTTTTCAATAGCAGTATCCACTAATACGTCTGGTACTCTCTGACAAGTTTCTTCAAACTATATCCATATCATCATCCCCATAACTCAATTCTCTTTGTACCCTCCTCTCCCTGAGTCAATTACAGTCATGTTTTCCTGCCTCTTTCTTCCTGTGAATAAAAAGTAGTGTATCTGACCTAGTATTTTTTGTATAACAGCATGTTTCATCTAACCAATCCCCCATCTTTTCTTCTCCAACATTCCTCTACCACATTATATTACTAGGTATTACAGAAATACCTCCTGTAATAGGTATATAAATTTTCCCAATATATCCACTTTATTAAAAAGAGATGAAAATACATATTCAGTAATTTTCTATTATCAAAATTTCATTTTCTTGTTTTGAATATTCTATTCATATCTTTAATTAACCAATTGGATCTGCATGCCCCACAACTTGTGCATGGATTACTACAGTAGTGACCCTCCCAAGTGGTGGCTTGTAGGCCTGAACCAAATGAACATTCATGTGCAGTATCAAGATTTCTTTATTCCTCTTTTCACTGCTACTGCTGTTTTTGGAATTTAGCAATTGCTGGAGGCCACCCATTTTAGGCATTCCTATAGTTCTGTCTCTATCAAAATGTATTTAAAAAATAAAAAATATGCAAGAATAATCTTTTATAATAATTTCATTAATATTTTAAAGTTAAGCAGACTAACCACTTACAGTCTATGTCCTCATTATGGTCCTTAATTTCATTCTGCAGAATGCTATTATTAGTGGGTGATTCTTCCTTTGTACAGGTTTCAAAAATTAGTTTTTACTCATCTCTCCCCCTATGCATAATGGTCTATCTAATGCCACACGAGACTTACCAGCATATCTATCAGCACGTGGGGGTGGAGCCAGCACAGGAGATGTTATAGAGCTGACAGATGGCGCTGGTGATGAAAGACCTGAAATATATTGGTCAAATAAAATACTTTCCTCATCTTCATTCCACGTCTTATCTACTGGGATCTTTTATATTAAATAGTGTTAAATAACCTTCTTTCAGTTGTTCTTGGCCTTCCATTCTCTTGCATTAAAAGGAATTAACTTTTTATATACCTGAAATAGGCATAGAGTTGCAGCACAGATGGGTGAGGTAATAATTTGCAAGTAGCAATGACATTGTTAAATAAATGGTTGTCTTGTAGTAACAGTTAGTTAAGCAAGAGAGTATTCAGGTAGCATTTAGCAAATCAAGAAAAAAAGTATATAAAAAATATATCAAATATTTCTTTTTAGCCCTTTGTCATGTTCACAGTGATTTCAGTTTATTAACTGTTTACACATAGATGGTTCTACAAGTACACCTTTTCCAAGGAGTCAAGTATTAGTCCTGTGTACCTCACCTGTTTAACCTTTTCCTTGATTTTTAGAAATAACATTTTCTATTTCTTATTGCCATTAATACCTTAATATCATAATCATCATAATGTTAACAGCAAAAACAACAACAACAATAATAATAATAATAATGAATGATAAACAATGATATCAACAAGTGATAAAATACAATCAAGAGTGACAGAGAAGAATATTTTTCACAAAGACTCAAGAAATGGGGAAATCAAATGAGGTAACACCAGGCCTATTAACTGACTCCTTCATAACTGAGCACTTGTGGAGCCATTTGTGTGCAACAAAATTCACTTAACAAGTACCCAATGCCCATGAATAAAGGGTTAAACATCAATAGAAATAAAGATGGCATAATCAATTCAAATATAATCCCATCTACAGATCTTACATTTAGATATATATGTATAAAATCATGATAGGTCTGAAGCCTGAAAATCTAAGAAAAGGTTTGAAAAGTGCATTTGATAACTGCACAATCAGGATTTCATGCTTACCATGAATAAAAAAGAAAAAGCAAAGGGTGAAAATAGGCTAATACCTATCAATTTGTTTTTTCTTAATTTCATTTGCCACTACTGATACATGAATCATCCATTCTTACTTGTATTTTTCATAGGCACTATTTTCCTATGATACATAACATGCTCGGTCAAAAATATGATATGCACTGCAGTTATCAGACTAAGAGACAACTTTTTAAAAAATGCTTTATTAGAGAAAAAAAAAAAAAAACATTAGGATTTGGTAATGAAATGATTACCTGTCTCCACAGTGCCAGCTACAAGCAAATATGTAAGTCAGCTAACCTGTTAATGCATTACCAACCTGTTAATGCATTAGATGCTGGGGACATGGGTCTGTTGACAGCAGTGTCCCCTACAGTGCTAGTTGCTAGAACCCCTCTTGGACTGCTATCACTGGTCCCAGAGCTCCCACCAAAGGTAAGATTTAATCCTAACAGGTCTGCAGAACTTGTCTTGTTACTGCTTAAACAAAAGAAAACAATGTGTTAGCAACATGCATCTGATTCTCTTAGTTAGCAGTGCTTGCTAGAACATATTTTCATAAACTGCTAGTCCTTGTAGTATCAGCTTTCTGGTCTTTCCAGTTTTGATGCAAAGGCTATTGAGATCATGAAATATCAACTGAGCTGACTTTGTCTAACCACTGTGATAGCATAGAATACATAAAATACAGAAAAAAATTCACATTGGCTCAGGTTCTCCCTTCTTGTCAATTCATGTGGCTTGACATAACACCTAGGCTACTAGAATTTGCTCTTGGAATGTATATAAAGTGCTGTTTACTCTGTCTCTTGGAGGTTCAATGTGCTTTATGTTCTATGCAGATCCCATGGAATGAGTTTTTCTGACTTCTGTAATTCAGAGTTCTTCCCACTTTTGCTATTTTTTACAGTAAGTTTCAGCAAGTCCTTTTTTAGTCCTTTTGTCTGCATACAAGTGACCTTTGATTCACTCTTCCATCTTTTCTGTTTTCTGTGTTGCTTTTTGCTGCTTCTCTCCCTGCATCTTCCCCTTCATACACAATTTCCTCATTTTCCAGTGCAGTTTGTTTTTTCTACAGTATTGTGTAGATGGGGGAGGGGCATCCTTTCCTTTGCCTTTCATCCTTTTTTTTATTCTTATACATTTCAGTAAATATCTTCTGCTTGTAAATTAACCTTCTGTGTATTTCTCCCCCTCAATACCTTAATTTTTTTTGTCTTTAACCCTTTGTATCCAGATGCCTCCCTCTGGCACATGGATGAAAATCCAGGAATTAGACTTACTTGTCTGGGGACTCTCCCAGGTGTGCAGCTTGCAGGCCCGGCCCATGCTAACACTTGTGCGTGGGTATCAAGGTTCTTTGCCTCTCCTTTGCAATACTATTAGTTTATATGCTGGAGTTATGTTTTTGCTGCATTATTATTTTCCAAGATTTATATTTAACATTTGTTATGCTTATCAAGTTCTTCATTTTTTTTTTTCCAGCATACCCTATATTATCTATCCACTCTGTGCATTAACACTAACATTAAGCAATAATATCTTATTTGTGTTACCTTTTTATTTTTTTGTATAACATGTTCCTACATATGGATATAGTACCCTCACTGTATCCAGCATTCTCCCAGATGTGGCTAGTACACTCCATCCTCATTTACTGATGGAAATGTCACAGAAGCCCCTTCCTGAAGGTCTGCAGAGTCAATCTTCTCCTGAAAACTTTGTGCATTCATAACGAGACTTCCTTGTCACCTACCATTTGAAAACAATTTTCAATAGTGTGACATTCCTGTCATCTCCAGACTTTTCCAAAACATGGTAACATTCCATACCCAACTTCCCTTGTAGGCTCTCCTACTCTGAAGACTATCATACAGGCATGTTTCTTCCCTCCACCTTCTTGTGAATGGAACATGAGCATAAAGCAGTAATTCTGATTCTGTATGGCATATTTCACCCTGTCAAAAAACACATTCTCAATCCATACATCATTACTCTTATGTATCCCTGTCACCTCCTGGTATGTCTTTGTCATTGTACATCTAAATACATAGAAAAATATATAAATATATGTCATGTCCTAAATGTCAATCTTTTTTTGTTGCTGTTTATGTACTTTACTTACATATTCATGCTAATCTATCTCCACCTTCATTTATAAGTAAGGAGTTAGTGCAAGACTTCCTTGAAACTTCTGATAAGTTTGTATTTATCATAACACTGAAATGGCAGGGACACTTGAGAAGTTGCAAGTGAGGTGACAAGCAAGCTGCAGGGTTTGCAGTTTTCAGGGGTTAAGGGGGTTACTGATTTGGCTGACCCAGAATCATGCTGCCACCATTCATCAGCTACACCTCAAGGCTAACTTTCCTTCCATCCTTCCATCTCTGATGGGTTTGTAAGACAGGCCAGTGATTCATCTGTGATTTTTCATTTGATTCAGCATCTGCAAGATGTAACCTGTGAGCTAAGAAGAGGGTCTCTTCTTCCAGTCTTCCATTTAGTGTTTTTTTCTGGTTAGTTGGCCTGTAAGTCTGTGTCAATAATCATTCTAGTTCAATATCTATTGCACCTTACATTACCCTTTATTTTTCTTTTCAAATCATCTTTTTATGTACATTTTTCCCTGAGCATAACTCCATACAGCTCCACGCTTTATTAGTGCCACTGTTTCTCACCATTTTTTCAACGTAAAAACACTTTCCAAAAAGTATGACATTTGACAAACATACACTGTCCCTTCTATCTGAGTAGTATGGAGCATGTATTTTCTTCCCTGAAGTATTGCTGTGGAGTTTTTCTCTCAATTCTTAACTTTCCAGATTTTTGGATGGGCTGCACAACCACTATGGGTGCACAAAGTCCATATATCATCAAAACTTTTGCATTAAACTCATCAAACAGAAAAAGAGCACTTTCTCTCTTTCAAATGTTGTAAACCAAACACACTTTATATTACTATATAAAAGCCTCGAAGACCTCAAGACCATAAAGATGAATTGAAAAGAATTATAAAACTCTAGACTGCCATAATATATGAAACTGCAATGTTGAATATTCTATTCAAATCAAATTTTAAGCACTTCCTTCAAGGCAATTTTCTTTAAGCACATTTATTTTTAGATGTGCACTTCTTATTATATGCATTTCATCATTCTAGTGTTTCTAACAACTGATGTTTCTTGACTTTAAATTTGTGGAGACTCATAACTAATTTGAAAAAAAGACACATCTGCATGTTTCACATATTCATAGTCCACTAAACTGTCTAGGAACAAAGGAAGAACTAAATAAAAAATAATAATAAAAAAATAAATAAATCATATTTGAAAACATCTGAAGCTTATGTTATGTATCCTTACAAGCAATGCTATTAGACATGTTATCTAAGAAAATATGACAAGTCTGTACATTGATTTACCTTAGCTGATGGGTGATGCTGTTGGAACGTTTCATGGGAAGCGAGTCTTGTGTATCTGTTGACGTTCTTCTTGTCTGATAAAGATCAACAGCAAAACTATTAACATAAAAACAAACATACATACATATGGATAACAATACTAGTGTCAATGTGGTGTGAGTGTGTGTGAGTGTGAGTGTGTGTGTGTATGTATCTGTGTCTGTGTATGTGTCTGAGTGTGTCTGT